GCGCGGGCCGAGGGCGGGAGCGGCCAGGGCGCCGGTGGCCTCACCCCTCCCCCCCGCAGCCGGACGGCCTTTCCCGGGAAGATGGCGGATCGCGCGGAGATGTTTTCCCTCTCCACCTTCCACTCGCTGTCGCCGCCGGGCTGCAGGTACGCCCTCGGCGTCCGCGGCCTCCGCGCCGGCGCCCTCCCTCGCCCTGGCCCGGGCCCCGGGCCCCTCTGCCCCGGCCGCGCCCCCCCCTCGTGGACCCAGGCCCCTCTCGGGTCCGCAGGCCCTGACGGCTGCCGCCCTTCCCCCACCCGCGGCTCAGAGCCCCTCGACTGTACCTCTGTCGCCCAGACAGGGACGCCCCCGTTCCCGCCGGACACTGCCGCACCCCGCCCGGCGGCGGATCTGTCGGAACGGGTCTCTGGACTGACCCCCTAGAAGACAGGCGACCAGGCACCGGGGCACAGGGTCTGTGCCTAGCAGTGTCCTTCTGGCCTGGCTGGGCTGCCTCCTGGGAGGCCCAGGCCTAGCCCAGAGGTCCCAGACAGGGAAGGGGTTGAAATCAAACCTGCAGCCCTGGAGGAAGGGACGGGGTGGGAGCCGGGTGGACCTTGAGGTGTAGCCCTCCTGGAGGCGGGGGGACAGAGTACGCCAGACCCCTCCCTCTCCCGCTGCCGCAGCTTCAGCTTCCCCTCCCCCTCCTCCTGCTGGCTCTGGCTGACTCCCCAGAGGCGGAGGCTGTGACCCACTGGGGCCTGGAGCTTAGTGAGGAGGGGAGAGGGGGAAGGGTGGCTCCTCTGGGTTGACCTGGCCCGGACGTCCTCTGGAGAGCAGAGCTTGGGGTCAAGATGATAGCAGGATGTGGGCCTGGGAGTGGGGGGCCTCAGAGTTGGAGTTCTCCCTCAACCCTTCCTCAGTATCACTCCCAGCTGGGGAGTCCAGGGTTAGTGGCTTCCTGACCTGGGCCTCCTCCCCAGGCCTCCCCAGGACATAAGCCTGGAAGAATTTGACGATGAAGACCTGTCGGAGATCACCGATGACTGTGGCCTGGGTCTCAGCTACGATTCGGACCACTGTGAGAAGGTGGGGGAATGGGCTGGGAGCAAAGAACCTGGTCAAGGGAGGGAGGAGGCTCTGCCTTGCCTTCACTTGGGGTTGGGGCAAGTCTGAGCTAAGCCTTGGCACAGGAAATGCTCTGATGGCTCCTGCCTTTTAGCTACTTGGCCTTGGGGCTTCCTCAGCATCAACACTGTCTTCCTAACGCACTGGAAGCCTAGTGCTATGCAAGGCCTACAAGGGGGAGGTTGCCTTCACTCTGGTGCCCTCAGTCCCCAGATTACTTTCCACAAAGATCTAACACCTTCAGCGACCATATCATCTGTCCCCTCCCTGCCCTGTCCCCATCTCTGCTGCCTCCATCTGTCTCAAGGCTCCACCCCTTAAATTTTTTTCTCCCCCTTCTGGTCCTCCTGTCTCCATGTTTCTGTTTTCATCCACTCTGAGCAACTGCTGTGTGGCAAGAGCTGGGCTTCCAGGTGCTAGGAGTGGAATAGGACAACTGCTTTGGGGGAGAAGGGCATGTAGGAGACAATAGCTCCTCAAGTGTCAGCAGCTGGATTCCCACTGGGACACAGGTTTGAAGACAGGGAAGGATACCTGATAGGACTGAGAGACTTTTCAGAAGAAATGTCAGTCGTGCCCTGAGGTTAGCAGGAGCCAGGCACATGGGGCAGAAAGGAAGATGCAGAAGAGGAATTGCTGGCAGAAGGATTGGCTATGCCAGAGGCCCTGGGGTTGGTGCAAACTTGGTGAATACTCGGAATGCAGGCTGTCTCTTCATTTATGCATTCTTTTGCTACTTACTGAACATCCACTGAGCCTGAGGTGCTGTTCCCTAGGTGGGTGTACCAATGCACAGCATGGGTATATCCTGCCTTGGTGGGGCTTGTGGCTTGGTGGAGGAGACAGACCAAAAACCATGTTCAGTGATTGTGAATCATGTGTTAAATGCTGTGAAGGGGGAAAAATGCTATGAAGGAAACAGAGTGCCAGTGTTAAATGTGATGGGGTTTTGACTGAGATAAGGCTTTAGAAGGTGGATTGGGGGTGCTATGGAAATATGTCACTCAGTCTCAGGAATTTGAATCTTTCTCAAGAAATGAAGCAATCCCTGTGCATCTTAAGCAGATCTCTAAAAACATCACTCTAGGGGCTGGGATTGTGGCTCAGCGGTAGAGCACTTGCCTAGCATGTGTGAGGCCCTGGGTTCGATCCTCAGCACCACATAAAAATAAATAAAATAAAGATTAAAAAAAAAATCACTCTGTTGGTCGGGGCCAGAGTGAACTGGAAGGAGGTCTCCAGTGAGTTCTCCCTGCTTTTCCCTCTCTTGGCACTTGGGACCCAGGTCTCTGTGGCACTCTGACCGAGCCCTGCCCATCTCCCTCCTTCTTGCAGGACAGCCTCTCCCTGGGACGCTCAGAGCAGCCACACCCCATCTGCTCATTCCAGGATGACTTCCAGGAGTTTGAGATGATTGATGACAATGAAGAAGAGGAGGAAGAGGAGGAGGAGGAGGAAGAGGAGGAGGAGGAAGAAGAGGGAGATGGGGAGTGCAAGGAGGGAGGAGGACCTGAATCAGAGGCATCTACCCAAAAGCCCCTTATCCCTTCCCCTTCCCTGGAAGAGCCCCACAAGCACCGGCCCACCACACTTCACTTCACTTCCCTGGGAGCCCAGGTGAGGGTCCTGACTTGTAGCGTCCCAGAGCTGAGCCTGATTCGTAGCACCTGAGATTCTGCACCCCATGGCAGCAAGTCCCCGACTCCTGGAAACCGGAGCTCCTCCTCAGCCTGCTTTCTTGTCCCTCTGTTCCAGGACTCCCTGAATAACAACGGAGGCTTTGCCCCCGCGCCCCCAGCCTCCTGGCAGGAAACAGTGCTGTGCTCTCAGGCTCAGGAGATCCTTGGAGGTGAGGGGTGTGAGCCTGGTGGGGTGGGGGGCAGCTGCCTGCTCCAAGGAGGACCGGCCAGTGGTGACTGATCCCTGTCCCTGCCCCCTAGAGCTCCCTGGCCCCCTCCCACCCACGGAGGAGGGGCTCTGTGAAGAGCAGTCACTCGTGTGTCCGGGTTGTGACTGTGAAGGGAACCGGCCCCCGGAGCCCCGAGCGCCGGGTGGAGCCTCGCCCTCCTCGGATCCTGGCATAGAGGCCGACCTGAGAAGCCGCTCCAGCGGGGGCCACGGGGGACGGCGCAGCAGCCAGGAGCTGTCTTCCCCGGGCTCTGACTTGGAGGAAGCCAGCGGCGTGCGCCTGGGGCGCATGATCTCCTCCATCTCGGAGACGGAGCTGGAGCTGAGCAGTGATGGCGGCAGCAGCAGCAGTGGCCGCTCCTCGCACCTCACCAACTCCATCGAGGAGGCTTCCTCACCCGCCTCCGAGCCCGAGCCCGAGCCCTTGCCCGAAGCCCCGCGCCGCCCGGCCTTCCTGCCGGTGGGCCCTGACGACACCAACAGCGAGTACGAGTCGGGGTCCGAGTCGGAGCCCGACCTCAGCGAGGAGGCCGACTCGCCCTGGCTGCTCAGCAACCTGGTGAGCCGCATGATGTCCGAGGGCTCCTCGCCCATCCGCTGCCCCGGCCAGTGCCTGTCTCCCGCACAGCGCCTGCCCGGGGAGCCGCTCTCGCCAGCCGGGAGCGCCGCGGAGGACTCCCAGGGCCCCGACGTGGCCGTGGGGCCAGGTGTGGAATTGGTGGACATGGAGACCCTGTGTGGGCCGCCGCCGCCCGCCCCCGCAGCTCCTCTGCCGGGCGCCGCACAGCCAGGGCCCTGCCTCTTCCTCAGCAACCCCACACGGGACACCATCACGCCGTTGTGGGCCGCGCCTGGCCGCGCCTCACGCCCTGGCCGCGCCTACTCTGCTGCCTGCTCGGAGGAGGAGGAGGAGGATGCTGAGGACAGCGTGGGGCCCCCAGGGGCCAGGAGCCTGCGCTCCGCGGCGCCGCGGGACGCCTCGCTGGTCTACGACGCCGTCAAGTACACGTTGGTGGTGGATGAGCACACGCAGCTGGAGCTGGTGAGCCTGCGTCGCTGTGCAGGCCTGGGCCACGACAGCGAAGAGGACAGCAGCGGCGAGGCCAGCGAGGAGGAGGTGGGGGCTGCGCTGCTAGGCAGTGATCAGGCCCCTGGGGATGCCTCTCCAGACAGTCCTGACCTCACCTTCTCCAAGAAGTTCCTCAATGTCTTTGTCAACAGCACATCTAGATCCTCCAGTGAGTGGAAGGCGGGGGAAAGAGGGTGGCCCAGAGGAGAAAGCCCATCTTCTTGGCCCAGGTCCCATCTGGTCCCCCAAAGCACCCAGGTGTCCCTGGGACCAGGGTGGCCCATGATCCCGAAACGCAGGGCTTGCCCTCCCCAGCCCTGTCTGTGGGCAAGGAGTTGGGGAGGGTCTACTCTGTCCCAGCCCCTGGTGGGCTGGTTTTTCTCTCCCTCTTGGACTTAGGACACCCACAGAAGCCTGTTGGAGGAAGGAACTTGGCTCAGTAACCTGATGCTCCAGGCCTCCAACATCCTCCAAAGCCAGGCCCGTGGAGCCCTTGCCTTTTCCCTGAGTCTGCCTCTCTCCTTCTCTGCCTCTTCTGTCTGTCTCAGGCACTGAGTCCTTTGGCCTTTTTTCCTGTCTGGTCAATGGGGAGGAGAGAGAGCAGACCCATCGGGCTGTCTTCAGGTATAGTTTCCCCTTTCTGTTGGTGATCCCTAGCCTCATTCCACAAACCGGACACCTCAAGGCATGACCCAGCAGGCCTGCCCAACTTCAGCGACCTCTCCCCTCACCTCAGGTTCATCCCTCGCCACCCTGACGAGCTGGAGCTGGATGTGGATGACCCAGTGTTGGTAGAAGCTGAGGAAGATGACTTTTGGTGCCGGGGCTTCAATATGCGCACTGGGGAACGCGGTGTGTTCCCTGCCTTCTATGCCCACGCAGTGCCCGGCCCTGCCAAGGACCTGCTGGGTGAGGCCCCATCCCCGAGGAGCGGCTTATCTCCCCAGACTCTCTCCATCACCCCCCTGACCTTACCCATGTGACCCCCAGGGAGCAAGCGGAGCCCCTGCTGGGTGGAGCGCTTCGATGTGCAGTTCCTAGGCTCTGTGGAGGTGCCATGTCACCAGGGCAATGGCATCCTGTGTGCAGCCATGCAGAAGGTCAGTTTGGAAATGAGGGTGGGCACAGGCTGGCTCAGTTCCCTGGTGCTCCAGGCCTCCAACATCCTCCAGGGAGAGTGTGGGGGCAGCTCAGAGGTGGGTACCCTGGCCCTGATTCAGAGGCTGAGCAGACAGACCTAGGGCAAGGTGTGGCAGCTGTCCCCTCACCCCGGGTCTCCATCTGCTGACTGGTGCTCACCTTTCCATTGGCACCTCCTCTTTAGCCAGTGCTCCTCCTGTCTGAAAGTTGAGACCAACTCTCAGGGCTCCTTCCCTAGGAGTTATTTGCTTGCTTACTCATTTGCTCAGTGGACATTTAGTGAGTGCCTGCCCACCTGCCAGGCCTGGGGCTGAGTTTGGAGGACAGCAGGAAGCAGGACAGATCAGTCCTGCACGCAGGGTTTACAGGTTTATTGGAACCAGGCAGTGAGAAACCGAGAATCAGAACTCCTGGCACTTGAGCCAAGAGGAGCGGCCTGGCAGAGGAACAGAGAGAGAAGACAGAGCAGTGATTGGCTGGTCCTGAGGCCCAGGATGGATAAGACCACCTTCTCATCCTTCAGAATCATGTTGTATGGGTCTTTGGCAAGAGTCTTTGTCGGTCTGAAAAGAACAGAACCATAGTTTACCAGTGGGAGAGAGAGAAGCCCTTGTAGGCCCTGAAGACCTTCTTTCTCCACAACATTTTTCCTCAGATTGCTACTGCCCGGAAACTGACTGTCCACCTACGCCCTCCTGCCTCCTGTGACCTTGAGATCTCTCTGCGGGGGGTCAAGCTGAGT